TAGAGAGAAAGATTGGTTAGTGCAAGTTCAGCTCTTGTTGTAACCTGCAAATATGCAAGCTTGCTTTAGGCTGCCTTGGAGACAGAAAAAAATGTTCCCACCTTGCAGTTTACATTTCTTTTCAGCTAAAGCTTCACCCTATGAAGGGGTTGCTGCTGGATCAACCCAACAAGCTCTTGACCACAAAAAAGCCAGTACAATCCTGGGTTGTATAAACAGAGGCATAGAATCAAGATCACGCGAAGTATTAGTACCGCTCTATAAAAGCCTAGTGAGGCCACACCTGGAATACTGCAGCCAATTTTGGTCACCATATTCTATTCTATTCTATTCTATTCTATTCTATTCTATTCTATTCTATTCTATTCTATATTCCAATATTTATTCTATTCTATTCTATTCTATTCTATTCTATTCTATTCTATTCTATTCTATTCTATTCTATTCTATTCTATTCCCTATTCCCTATTCCCTATTTTCTATTCTATTCTATTCTATTCTATTCTATTCTATTCTATTCCATTCCATTCTATTCTATTCTTAACCCAGGGGTGCTCCCAAGCTGCAGCCTGACTGCCTGGGGTGGTGGGAGGGGGAGGGAGGGACAAGGGTCAAATCCATCCAGAAGCAGTGTGGGTCTTTCCATGCAGCCCCCAAAGGTTTCCCTTCTTCAACATGGCTGCTATTGCTGTAGCTGAGCTATGGGGTCCTGTCTAGAGCCCCCTCCCCCCTGGCACGTGCACCCCTTGGTGGGTTTGGCATGTAGGGCTCTGCTAATCCTAAAACGAGAGGAAGTGGCCAGCCCAGCCGGACAATGCCGGGCAGTGTAATCCTCCTCATCAAAGTGGCAGGGAAGGAGGCCAATGGGATTAGCCGAGGGAGGGGGCCCGGCTGGGGGGACGGAGGGGGTGACCGGCAGCAGCCCCAGCCCAGCTGCCCTTTGTCCCTCCCGCCCCCCCTAGCTGGGATTAGCAGTGGCCTGAAAGGGCCGACCGGCGCTCTCCTCTTCAGGGCCCGATGGCACGCTGGGAGCCGGGATTGGGGGACGCTCAAGATTGACCGCGCAGGCAGGGGCCACAGGAAGGGCTCAGCGGGGCTAATAAAGCCCAGGGGGACGGGAGGGGGCGGGATGTCCGCACAGCATTCAGGGAGGGGGCAGTCAAAGGCCGGCTTCCATTGCCCGGGGTCCTGGAGAAGGATGCTGGCTCTGAGGGGCAGGGGAGGGGGCAATGCCCACCCTGCATTGAAGCAGCTGTGGCTCCAGAACTGGGGGCAGCCCCCTTTTCTGAGCAGAGACCTGCCACTATCTCAAGGGGGTGCGTCATGCACACATCTGCCAGGACAGGAGCTCCTGGTCAGCTGACCTGCCTCTGCCCCAGGCCTGGCTAACATACCTTACGCTGGAGGGGGGGCTGTCTGGATCCGACCCAGATGGACTGCTGGGAAGCCTTAGCAGCTGCAGCTTCCTTGGCCTGTGATCTGGACAAGCCCCTCACTCAGAGGCTGGCTGGGCTCATCCTGAGGGGAGGCAGGGGCTGAGGCTCAGATAAAGGAGCACAGCCCCTCGGAAGGAAAGGCGGCCGAGGGGCTCCTGGTTGGCACCCCAGAGAGCAGGTTGGGGAGCAGCTGCAGAGCCCCCCCACCCCCGCCAGCCCATTTCAAAGGAGCCTGCAGAGGCAGCTCTGCAAACAAGAGCCCATAAAGTGGTTAAACATGCTTGTGGGAGAACAGCTCTCCCAAAGAGCTTCCCCCCCCAGGGAAGGCAAACAGATTTGTTTGTCCCAGGATGGGGGCCAGCACAACTCCCCCCACCTCACACCTATCAAAGGACTGGTGTGTGTGTGTGTGTGTGTGTGTTGGGGGAGAATTGCTTCCTTCCATCCTAGTTTGTTTGTGGGACACCCACATGCCAGAGGCCTCTCAGCTGGGGCTGCCAGGGAGGGCGGGTGGCCAGCTGCTTCAGAGGGGCCAGCACACACACACACACACACACACTCAGCCAGTCCTGTTCCACCAAATCCAGCCCAGCTCAGCTGAGCAGAGAGCTGGGCCTTGCCTACCTGCTGATGCCCACCAGGGCAAGGGGGGGGGGTTGGCCCAGTTCCGGACTCCTTGGCCAACTCAGGGCTTTCCCCATTCTTTGGCTGGGGAGGGGGCACATTTGGGAGGCTGGGAATGCATAGCGGGTGCAGATGGAAAAAGGCAGGGCAGCGGGGGGGGGGATGGCGGCAGGGAAGAGCTGCCGGCATTCAGGGTCTCCTCGCGGGGCACCCTGGTCTTAGGTGGCCTGGCCCAGGTGCCTCACTCCCCAGGGCCTGAATCCAAGGCCCCTGCCCTACGGAGCTGAGGGGTGGAGCCCAGGGGGTCCCTGGGTACCTCAGGTGGGCAAGGGCAGGCTGCTTCCTGGGCCAGCTCAGCTTCTCTGCCACTGCCAGGCTCCAAAAGGCCTCTGATCAGGCGGCAGCTTGGCCTTCCGAGGGGGCGCCCCCCCTTGAATCCTTCCGGAAAGCCCCTCCAGGCTCTCTTTTGGTCCAGGGAGGCCTTGGGGGGAGCGGGCCATGATGACTGAGCATGCTCGGAAGGTGATGGATCCTGGGGGGGGGGG